AGCAAGCGATAGATATGCAGTCCAATCATCTTGTTGATAATTGATGCTGCATTGTAAATATTGCTCCAAAACTTGATTCATCCGCTCCGTTTGACTGTCAGTTTGAGGATGAAAAGCCAAAGAGAGCTTAATATCCACCTTCAATATCTCAAAGAGGGACCTCCAAAACTTGGATACAAACTGAGTACCTCGATCCGACACGATATCATCTGGTAGGCCATGATAACGATATATGTTATCAAGAAAGAGTCTTGCGGTGTCTTCACTTGATGATGTTTTCTTGCAAGGCACAAAATGCGCCATCTTTGTAAATCGATCCACTACAACAAAGATGCTGTCAAATGAATTCGATGGCGGTAGGTCCGTAATGAAGTCCATAGAAACTAAAGACCATGGTCGGTGCGGAATAGGCAATGGCTGGAGAAGTCCATACGGACGATGTCGAGGGATCTTGGATCTTGAACAAACATCACAAGAAAGGACAAATTCCTTCACATCCTTCCACATTTGGGGCCACCAAAAATCTCGTGAAATGAGCTCCAAAGTCTTGTTGAATCTAAAATGTCCCACAGCTGGAAAGTCGTGGCGAGATTGAAGTACTCGGAGTCGAGTTGGTCCTTTCGGGATATACAACCGCTCCTCAAAATACAGAAGATCTCCCTCCACCTTAAACTTGTCATTATCGACACGTTGTTTGATGTCAAGAGCTATAGAATCCTCAATGGTCGCAGTACGTACCTCGCTGAGGAAGCCGTCATCGATAGTTGCAACAGTAGTAAAAATCCTGAATTTTTCTGGTTTCAACAATGTTGTACATTGTTGATCAAACGCTGCTTCTCCAGCCTTTGGCGCAAGATACGATCTCCTCGATAATGCGTCAGATAATCCTTGCTGTTTTCGAGGGCGGTAGGTGATAATGAAGTCAAATCGTGATAGAGACATATTCCATCAAGCTTGACGACGATTCAAAATTCGAGCTGTCATGAAGTACTCCAAATTCTTGTGGTCCGTATAAACAGTCACTGGATGTGCAGCTCCTTCGAAGAAGTGACGCCACTCTTGGAAGGCATCTACTATAGCAAACAGCTCTTTGTCGTGGATCTCGTAGTTGATCTCAGCAGCAGAGAACTTCCGTGAATAGAACGCAACTGGGTGAAGCTTCTTGTCTATACCTATCTGTGAAAGCACAGCTCCCAAAGCAAAATCTGAAGCATCGGTTTCTAAATAGAAAGCCTTTGCAAAGTCAGGGTGTACCAAGATTGGAGCCGTAGTAAATGCCGTCTTGAGATCTTGAAATACTTTTGCGGCTTGTGATTCCCATTCGAGCTTGTCTTTGCTTGTTAGACGCGTGAGTGGTGCAGCAACTTGAGAATAATTCTTGATGAAGATCCGATAGAAGTTAGCAAATCCAAAAAAACACTGAACATCTCTAACCGTCTTCGGAACTTCCCAAGATATAATTGCTTCTACCTTTTTTGGATCCATCTTCAAGCCCTCTGTAGTTGCAATGAAGCCCAAAAATTCCATCTCATTCTGGTGAAATTGACACTTCTCCAACTTGGCGTAGAGTCCTCGTTCGCGTAGTTTTTCAAGAACCAAACAAACGTGCTTCTCATGTTCTTCTTCATTCTTGGAAAATATCAAAATATCATCCAGATAGATGACAACAAAGTCATCGAGGTACTCCCGAAAGATGTCGTTCATCATATGCTGAAAGACCGCTGGAGCATTGGTAAGACCGAAAGGCATGACATTGTACTCAAAATGGCCATACCTTGTACGAAAGGCTGTCTTCCATTCATCTCCTTCTTTGATTCGCACAAGGTTGTAGGCTCCTCTTAAATCAATCTTTGTAAAAATCCTTGCACGTCCAAGTTGATCTAAGAGGCCGGAGATCAAAGGTAAGGGATAGCGATTTTTCTTGGTCACCTTGTTGAGTCCTTGGTAGTCCACGCACATCCGCAGTGAGCCATCCTTTTTCTTCACGAATAGGATTGGTGCTCCAGCTGGCGACTTTGAATGTCGAATAAAATTCTTGGCTAGATTCTCATCGATGTACTTCCGCAATTCTGCCAACTCCGTCTGCGATAGGTTGTATATTGGACCAAAAGGTGGTTGCGCTCCTTCCTCTAAGTCTATGGCGCAATCATATGGTCGATGTTCCGGCAGTATATCGGCGTTCTTCTTCTGAAACACGTCTTCAAAATCCCTATATTGCTCTGGTATATTCGATGTTGAGATATTCTCGCCGCTAGTTGGAGCTGCATAAATGACAAATGGTGCCCCTTCCTTGGACGATCTTAGGAACGCTCTCGCTCCAATAAACATGGATTTCTTCATGTAGGTTCTACCAACAGGTTTATTATTATTTTTTTCAGGAAATGTTATCCTTCGTAGCCTCCAATCAATGGACGGATTATGATCTTCTAACCAAGAAAGACCAAGGATAACAGGGCTTGATGGGGTTCTAATAATATTAAAAATAACGTGACTACTATGGTCCTTAAACACCACTTCTATAGGTTCTGATTTGTGGATAACGTTGCCTGATAATAAGGGTCGTCCATCTATCACCTCTACGTGAACAGGTTTGGACTTCTGTACTAAACGGATCTTGTGGCGTTTAGCAAACTCTTCATCTAAAAACAAGTAGATGCCCCCGAATCCAATAAAGCTAAAGTTTTTTGTTTTTGAGGGCCTAAAAACAAAGGAATTGTAAAACAACGGGCAGGTTGGACAGAGAAGGAGGAACCTGATTGTTGTCGTGATATTAGATTGTCCAGCCGCACGGTTTGTACTGTGGCTGGGTGTCGTCGTTTTCCGGAATCATCGCACTTCTAGTCTTGACAGGGTGCCAATTTTGCTTCTTTGGGCAATTTCCAACCTTGTGACCTTCTTCTCCACAGTACAAACATAACCCTTCCTCCATACGCCGTTTCTTCTTTGTTGGAGTAAGAGATCGGACACACGCCGTGTCGATTTGCATGTCTGTTGCCTCCGAATGTGAGTTTAAGCTATTTGCAGACATAGTCACGTCGTAACGAGTCATTTGGTGTCTTGGACGTTGGTCTTGGCAACGCTGGAATAGGCGGTTGTCACACTTTACAGCTTGGCTAATAGCTTCATTGAGCGTTTGAGGATCAGGAAGAGATAACAGCAAGTCCTTCACATCATCCTTCAAGCCCCAATAAAACTGACTCACCAACGCCTCTTCACCCCAATTAATGTCACTTGCCATTTGTCTGAAATCCGAGGCATAGACTGATGCAGAGCGTGTTCCTTGTCGTAGCGATCGGATCTTTGTTGTGGCCCATCGAACTTTATCATGCTCGCCAAATGCTTCTGCAAACGCCTCCAAGAACGTTTCAAAGTTGCTCAGGATTGGCGATCGCTTCTCGAACAAGGGAGTAAACCAAGACAGAGCTTGTGTTGTAAGCAAGGTTCCAACAAGCCCAACACGCGCTTCCTCCGTCGGATAACGTTCGGGCTGTAAAATTGTTATCAACCTGATTTGGTTGACAAAACCTCGAAACTTGGAACGAGTTCCATCGAACTTATCCGGAACACTAACTCGAGGCTCCTTTCGTTGTAGGACTACTCGATCTTGTTGAAATGGAGGTAGAACTGCTTCTTCTGGCGAAGAAGTTTGAGGCTGATATGCTTTAGATGGCGCTATCCCAGATGTTCCATTGTTATGGAGTCCTACCATGACTCCTTCGATCTCTGTTGTCCTATGTGACAATGAGGCAAGAGCATTTATGATGGCGTCTAGTTTGGATTCCAAACTTTCAGCCATTTTAACGTCTTAACCTTCGGCTAACCTTCAGAAAGAAGAAAAAAGAGTTTTGACAAGAAGACAATATTGGTTCAGAGGAGAGTACTCCGCAACCTCTAAAACGCCTTAAGACTCCAAGATGAGGGGTAATCCACTCTCTCCAAGAAGAATAAGGCTCCAATATTGAGAAAGAAGAGATATCAGTTTAGAGGAGGGTAATCCGCAACCTCTAAAACACTAGCACACCTTCAAGAAGAGGGGTAATCCACTCTCTAACAAGAAGGAACTAGCTCTGATACCAGTGAAAATGTAGTCTCGACAAAATGTCACGGACACAAAATACAGACTTGAAATCTAACAAGAAGTTCAAGAAGAAGTGGCAGAACTAGATTAAACAGATGAGTACAAGAACAACACCAGAAAGGTGAGCTAGAACTCCAAGAGATGTGTTGTCAAGACTGAAGAACCCTTCAGCCTCGACTCCTATATATACTACTGAATAGGAAGCTTCTCGAGCTACTTCTGCTAACTAGGATGCTTCTCCAACAACTTCTACTAATTAGGAAACTTCTCGAGCAACTTCCTAGAAACTATCAGAATATTCTAGAACCTTCTAAGAATCTTCTAAAGGAATCTTTAGAGAATCTTTAGAGAATATTCTAGAAGAATATTCGAAGAATCTTCCAATGTATGTCCATGACAGTAGTATAGTCAAAGATATAAGATTAGCAATGATGTCAAGCTTGAGCACCATGTTATAACAATGGTAGTCAAAACTATGAGATTGCTCAATTTATTTGGTAATGATGTTAAGCTTACACATCTCCTCATATATGTTATATATACTTAAATGAAGGTTCCAATACCATTTGCAATTGTGTGTACAATTATATATCACATACAATCATGTGAAGAACCAAAGTGGGCATTCTTGGTCAACAACTTCTTGATGTGAGTTGCTCCAGATATATTTGTGCGGAATCATGTGAAGAATCCAAGTGGGCATTCTTGGCCAACAATTTCTTGATGTAAGTTGCTCCAGATACATTTGTGCGGAATCATGTGAAGAATCCAAGTGGGCATTCTTGGCCAACAATTTCTTGATGTAAGTTGCTCCAGATACATTTGTGCGGAATCATGTTCAGAATCTTGTTACATATACTTAAATGAAGGTTCCAATACCATTTGCAATTGTGTGTGCAATTATGTGTCATGTAGAATCATGTGAAGAACCAAAGTGGGCATTCATGGCCAACAATTTCTTGATGTAAGTTGCTCCAGATGCATTTCCATGCTATGCCATTGTCAGGGTCAAATGGAAAAGAACTATGGATGTTCAAAGTTATGTAGATTCTCAAAACATGGTAGGTTCAGGGATACATCTTTCGACACTGTGAAAAATGTTCCATCTTCTTTCAACGCCATACAAGGGATGTCCACATATAATGTCTTGCAATTACTCCTGTTTCTCTCTAAACGAAGTGCAAACGTTCCGAAACTCGAGGCTCCATATAACAGTTCAAGTAAACCTCCAGGCAGGTCCTTTGTCGCGTGCACTTTAGTCGTGTCCCCGCAGCATACCTGCACTTTTGATTCCTCCGGCACCTTCATATTGAAAGCAAAGTATTTCAGTTGAGGTGCTACAATTCTGAGATCCTGAGGACATTGCATCTTTAGTTCCAGCTTCTCAAGACTAGGAAGATCCATTAAGACGTTCTCTGCTGGAGTTGAGAGACCGAGGCAAAGCACTTTCATATTTTTAAACTTCAGATTCCCTTTCTCCACACCAAATACCCCAAGCAGCGCCAACGTCTGTAGATTCGGCATGATTGTGTTCATATCATCTAAAGTTCCAACCGTCACTTTAACACAACGTAATGTCATGCTCACCATGGAGGTCATTACTCCACAGTCACTTGTATCAATATACATATTCCTTAGATCCAGCGTCTTCACCAATTTGCCTGCACACGAATTGTATCACCATTGCTTTACATTCCTCCCAAGCTCTCACAACGGCATGGAAATGTGTCAAGTTCAGTCAAAATAGCCCATTGACCTAAACAGCAGAAGATGAGTGATGAAGATACTTACAGTTCTCTGATATAATCTTAAGGACGCTAGATCTGCGCATTATGGCCTGCTTCCCATAGTCCACTATGCATAAATGCTGAAGCGTGGCCCCTGCGCGAGGTAACCATTTCCTCACAAAATACGGATCGCTCATCCAAAAATCTGTTCTCTGTCCTTCATTTTCAGGAACTTCTTTCGACTGTAGCCTCGGCTCAACTTCAATGCACAGCTGCTTTATGCAATGCTTCTTTGCTATAATATTCACCACAGTATCCTTCAGATTTCGACTTTCCAAACCAGAATTCGGTGAGGACATATCTACAAGATTTCGGGCCCATTCATGATCCTCATTCAACACTTTTACATGCATTGACCTGACATTGTAACCGGTTTCCTGGAATGATTTGCAAGTTACCGAAAGTTTTGCAATGTCCCTCGCATCCTCAACGTGATGGACGATTTCATCAACTATCTCTTGAGAAAACTGCCACAGAAATCAACGGAATCCCGTCAGGAAACTTCATGTAGACAATACAAAAAGGACACCTCCTGACTCCCGCCAGTTTTAAGGGCTGCTTTTGGTAATTTCTTGCACTACCATTCTCTATGCCTGTCGGGAAGACCAAACTGTGTTTCTCGGTCAAAAATGCTCAAATCCCCTAAAATCTTGAGTCTGCACCTTGCCCCAAAAGGTGCTCAGTGAACCCAGAAGAACTCGGGCCTTAAAATAAAAACTATGGCCTACAAACCGCTTGTATATCAAACGCGCCCGCTAATGCGAACCATAGAAGGACGAGGTCATAAATCGCCATAGAGGACTTACATAATCAAGTCGCGCATACATCAATTTTAATAGCCCGTAGACATCACATCTGATGATCACAATCCACAACCTGAACTCTACACCATTCTGCTGCGACGAGACAAATGAACATTAAGTTGGCAGGACTCCGAACTTACAAACCTAAGGTAGGTGAAGGTTGGACGAGTAGCAAGCTAAAGCAAGGATTCTGAGGTAGAATCGTACAGGGGTTGGCGGGCCATACAAGAAACAAGAAGCGTCACGTATCCCATGAAGTGGAGAGATCAGTTCAGCCTCCCAATTTTGCATCTAACAGTGATCTTTGGAGACTTAGAAGCATCACACCAACACGAATGAAGAAGAAAAACACTTCTCGAGAACAATATACAAAATCCAGTGGTCTACAGAGAACACACTTACTCGATCCATTTTTGCGTGCTTGCAGAAGAGTTCGCTTGAAAATTGTGTTGCACGAGTCGCGTCTACGAAGCCCAGAGTCTCTTTGAACAGGTCAAAGTAGAAGAAAGGAGGTATCAAACTTCATAAAAACTCACCACAAGTTCTGCTAAAACTCCGCGCCTCCCGTAACCATTCTTGCTCAATGAGAGCTGGAAAGTAGCCAGTAACCCTTAAGTTTGATAACCCACAAATGCTGTTAACTTCACTCCTCTGGTAATCATTCTCGGGAATCCCCTGCCTGCGGGACACCCCACAACGCAGGTTTCGCAGCAGGTGCCTCAGTTTCGCATCCACAGTTTCGCAGGAGACTTTTAGCGTAGACTCGACCGGGTACCGTCCACAGGATATCACCCGCGTGGAGGGGTCAAATATAGGTCTACTGGATATTCGCCCTCAGGAGTATAGGCCCACTGGATGCTTGTTGCAACCTTGGAACAAAAGTCTTTTAAAGGTCTTTCAATTGGTAAAGAACAACATTCCTGTAGAGGCCGGAAATAGCACAAAGTGAGACTTCTCAATTTTAGTCAATCAAAGGATATAATAGCTGTGGCCACTTATCTTTTCTTCTAAGTTAAAAGACTTAGACATTGTGGATTTAAACTCATGTAGTGGTACCAATTAAGTTCCACTATGAACACTTTTAAATCTCCATTACACTGCAAGAGAATCATAAGCATTTAAAAGAATCTAAACAAATAAAATACAAACAATTAGTACGTCTTAATCTGTTGTAAATTAAAACAAGTGTATCAATTTAATTGCTATAACTTATTAGATTATGAACTATCATCTGTAGAATTTCTACAGCGGGGAGGAATGGCGTTTGGAGAGGGACACAATCATGTGGGCGAGGATGTCCATTCCACCATTCAACACGTCACAACTCACATCGACAAGGTTTGATTGGCGGCAATTGAGCTGGTGGGTCAAGCTGCGATTCCAGGTGTGCTGGCTTCTCTTGCAAGTCTCAATGTCTTCGAGGCACATGCCCGAGCGGGGGACGGTGTAGAGCTGTGCAACCAGGCAATGCCGGGAAAGGTCATCGATTCGAGCTATCTTGGAGGAATGCTCCGCCTGGCAAGCAGCGTAAAGGTTTTGCGCGAGGTTGCTACAATGAGTGAGGATGGCTCAACCGAGCTTCGCTACGGGCTGGAACCAATCGGTAAATTCTTGGTAGGCGACGCAGAGAAGGGCTCCTTGGTCCACTTGTTGCTCATGTATCAAGTCCCTGTGTTGTTAAGTACCTGGAATCACCTGCCTGAATCCGTCGTGGACGACTCGGTCCAACCATTCGCAATAGCACATCGCGGATTGCATGCGTGGTAATACGGAATGAAAAGTTCAACAAGGCAATGGCTGGACATTCGAAGCTGTACATGCGTGCCTTCTTGGATGTTTATGAGGGGTTTGAGGGGGTGAGAGTGTTGATCGACATAGGAGGAGGCTTTGGCTCTGCTATCACCACCATCACTGCCCAGTAACCTCACATCAAGGGGATCAACTTCGATCAACCTCATGTAATCAAAGCTTGCCCTGCATTGCCATGTGAGAAACTTGTAATCCCCTCGAATTGAAACCACATATCTTGCCGATAAACTGAATTGCAACACTGACTAACTTTGCGTTAAGTTAATTTTGTCGGTGTCGATGTCGATGTTCTCAGTTGGAGTTGGCATGCGTCTTTCGATCATGATTCCGTTTAAAATTGCATTTGTTTCTTTCTCGTTATGATCTGTGAGAATTCAGTGTGAGACGACTGGGTTACTATCAGGAGTGGAGCACACGAGTGGAGACATGTTTGAGTCCATCCCAACTGGCGGCGATGCCATCTCTCTGAAGGTCAGTCCTCCACCATCTCATGTGCTTCCAATATATTATTTCATAGAAGTCTGAAAAATTTTACCACGCAATAAAGTCATTGTTATTTCCATTTTTAAATGGATACAATATAGGTAAGATGTAGCGAAACTTACCTTCGTTGTCTCATTTTTGTCAAAATGTGCCCCACAATATGTGTTATTTCTGGTGCTGATCTCCTAGTCGCTCTCGAATATCCCAATCTCGCATTTAACTCTCTGTACATCTCACAAGGGCAACTCGAGCTTCATGTGCATTTTGTTGCCAGAGCACACATGGAATACAAACGATGCTCTGGTTGATGAATTCACGTCGATCTTACGATCATTTGCGCTTATTCTAATGGGTAAATAGATGTGACTCCAGGGTCGTAATATTTCTAACCCTGTAGCTGCTTTGTTCTTTCTAGACAGTACATACTGCATGACTGGGACGACGAAAGCTGTATCAAAAATTTTAAGAACTGCTAAGGCTTTACCCGCAAACGGCAAGGTGATTGCTGTGGACAGCGTGTTAATCAACACCAGTAACTTCGAAGGAGGTGACATGCAATTTTAAACGGAATTTCACATGTCCTTCATTGTGGACATGAACATGATGGCATTCAACAGATACGCAAGCTTGGTCTGGATGCTGGATTCATGCGTGTCGATGTTGTATGCAAGGTTGATCAACTCTCTGTAACAGAATTTGTCAAGGCTTGGCTTGGGTCCGGTGACAGATCACCCATGTTTGCTTGTGACTGGCGTTTTCTATCCATACCAAAAGTATCAATCCCTTTGAGTTCCACTTCGACTGGATTCAAGGCTAGAAACCACTATATTTTACACCTTAATAAGGCAGGCATTGCATAAAAGAGCCGTTGCAGGTGCTCTCAGTGGATGCTGAAGAGTTACAAGCTCTCATCACGAGGTAGATATGACTTTTGCCGAAAACTGAAAACTCCTTTTAGCATACGAGTTTCAATTTTTGCTTCCGTACAAATAGGTGGTGACAGCAGAGAACTCATTGCTTAATAAGTACCAGAATGTGAAACTTATTTTGAGGCTGGTATACAATGTTGTTTCGGCAAGACTCAAAATTGTAATAAAGTAGATATTGTCCAAAAAAAAGAACAACAAAAAAGTCTACCAAAGGTAAGTTGAGTACTTTTTCCACAAAAAATCACAGCCATAAAACAAAATTGGTGTTTTAAAAGACAAAATGATAATAATAATAAGATAGTTTATAAAATGGAAGTATAGGATTACCAAATACTAAAAATTAATCCAAATAAATTATAAAATAGTCTAGAAGATGCTAAAGAGTTACTAATATTTATTATAGATTCTAATGTTGTGTAAATAAAGATTGTTATACACAACAAATCAAGTACCATAAATCAATCATGAAATATGCAATTTAAACCAAATACAAATGCGCAATCAACACACTCTCAAAGAAAGATGAAAAATCTACATACAAGTAAGTCAAGCTACCTCTTTCACCACAAAGAGAGAATCCAAGAGTACAAGTGTGAGTAGAAAAAATCCTAAAGCTTTATTAAATGACTAAATTACCATAGCCATGCACACCCTTACAACATGAGCTTCCTCTCTCAAAACCATTCTAAGAAACTTAACATGACAAGAATGTCAAGTCAAGGAGTTTTTCCATCTAACTAATGAGATTGGCACTTATAAGAGCTAGAGTTCAAATTAAATATTTTCTTTATAGATATATAGGCCTTGGACTTATATATATCTATATATATCTAGTGCAACATTTTAGAATAAGAGCCTTCTTCAAGCATGTTTACATTTTAAAGCAACATAAATATTTTTTGTATCCTATTCTTTTTAATTTCTATTATATTAACTTTAGTGATTATTCTTGATAAAATATCTTTTTGGTCTTTTTATTATAATTAAGATAATATAATAGATAAAAAATTTGTTTGATTAAAGAGTATATTGTTGTTATTTAAGAGCAAAAAAAATAAGCAATAAATTATATTATAAGAATAATAGTAGTCAATCTTAATTTGAAAACTAAAACAACCAACTAAAAAACTCAAAGATGACATAAAAAAACATGAAAAGAGACCAATAATAATTTAAAATTACTTACATTACATTGTTATATGGCACACATAATCAATAGCCTATGACAATATGTATGCAAATGAATATAATATGTGATGGGACTAGTGAGCATAGAATGGCCTAAGCCATAGTAACAACCACAAGAACATAATATTACGTCAACTAAGTGAGTATATATAAAGTTACTAAACACAATAATAAGCATCTACTTCTATAGTTTTAATTACATAAAAGATATATATATTTCTACAAATCTACAATGCAAAAATTAATTGTAAGCCAACTTTTAATAATACAAAATATATGGACCCTTTATCAATAGCCATGTACACATTAATGATGCAAACAAAAAATATACATGATATTGGTAAAACTAATTAAAAAGACTTAAAAGAACCTAAAGATAAAAATCTATACATCCAAAATAGAGAAAAATCTTAATAAATAAAGTCTATATAGTTATTTTTAATTATAACAATAAACAATCAAAATGTAATTCTCAAATAAATTGAATACAAATAAAAAAAAAAAAAAATGAAACAAAGAAGATAAAAAAATACTAAAAATTTATAAATATTTCAAGAACTTAATAAGTATATTTTAATAAAAATAAATGAAGTTATTTTTATTAAGACACATTACATTGTTGCTTTGAAAAAGAAACATCTATAAGTTGCATTATTAAATAAGATTTACATATTACATTATAAATTTCTTTAAGAATTTTTTATTTTAGAATATTATCAAATTATTATATATAGCATAAAAATAGATAAAAATCTTATTATCTAAGTAGACTTGCAAAAAAGAAAAAAGAAAAAAAAAAAAAAAAACTCAATATTTTACAATCTCCAAAAAATTGATTCAATTATATTATACAAACATCGAATTATATTTTTTTATTTTATTTATTTATAATATTTCTATTAAATAAGAAAAATTAGCACAAAGAATCTACTGTTGTCTTAGTTTATATTTTAAAAAATGCTTTCAATTTGATCCTAAAGTAGTAGAAGTAATTATTATCTTTCAACTACTGAGATTATAACTACAAATTGAATTTAATATAATATTTTATTCTTCTTGCATCAAATCTACTTATTTAATCTATAGACTACCTAGGTCATAATCAAAAGGTTTTATTAACTAGTAACTAAGGTCTATTACAATTACCATACAAATTTGATCTATAAATTTTCAATATTCAAGATTTGTGATTTTTTTGTTGAATAAGTAGAATTGATATAGAAGTAAAAACTTAAAAATTGAGCAATATTAGATTCCAACATATGCTTTTAATTATATATTTATAAAAAGCTATAATATATATTTGATTAAATTTATTTTCAAATTAAAATAAATCCTATATTAATTTAACAAGAATAATTAGTTTGATCCATTAATTAAATATATGTATTATTTTATATTAAAAATTCCTAAAGTACCAGCAAAACAAAGTCAAAAAAGAAAAGAAAAGAAAAACTACATAACTATTTATGGTGTTAACTCATATACTACTACAATCCATTGAAATCCATACAAGTTACTTGAATATTTTTAGAAAAATAATTAATCAATCAAATGTAGTTAACAACTTTGTTTCTTTATAAATATTGTAAAATAGATATATACATAGAAAACCTCCAAAGTACACATCACAAGACACTCCCAATATAGTGTAGAGACTAAAATGCTCATTATAAAAGTGTATGAATTTAGTATTTTTGGAAAGCCTCCAACCTATTCTCCCAAGGTGTGACCAATATTCATGAACTCATTATTTAGTCCTGCACATGAGCTTAACTGCAACTGATATACTTACATTGTTCAGGAATTCCCACTAGCACGATGTAGTCAAGCCTTAAAAACTAAAATATGTAAAATCATGGCTGGTCGAACATTCCTTCACAATGCAATCAATTCCTTGCATATCAGATTCTTTGATTCTTTGCTTAATCAGCATAGAATCCACAGGACCAGATTTGTGTATGTAAATTGTCAAATGCTTAACTGAAGGTCCCAGTATCATCTGCAACACTCGAATAGAAGATCCTGTGTCGTGTGGGATCATGTGAACAACCAAGGTGTGCATTCTTGGCCAGCGGTTTCTTGCTGCCAGCTGATTTACATGTGTTTCCATACTGTACCATAACCCAGGTCCGATGTAGAGAGACTGTAGCCTTTCACAGTTGTGAAGATGCTCAAAACTTGGTAGGTTCAGGGGTACATCTGTCAATACTTTACAAAACGTTCCGTCTTCGTTCAGTTCCATACAAGGGATGTCCCAACATAGCTTCTTGAGAGTCCTCATGTTTCTCGCTATAAGAATTGCAAGAATTTCAAAACTCGAGGCTCCATATAAGATCTCAAGTAAACCTCCGGGCATGACCTTTGTTGCGTGTTCCTCACACGTGTCCTCGGAGCATACACGCAGGCTTGATTGCTCCGACACCTTCATATTGAAAGCTAAGGATTTCAGTTGAGGTGCCACAATTCTGATTTCCACTGGACATAGCATCTTTAGTTCCAGCTTCTCAAGACTAGGAGCATCCATTGAGACGAACTGGGCCGGGCTTGACAGACCAAGGCTAAGAACTTTCATCTCTGAGAACTTGCGCACGCATCTGTATACACTGGATATCCCAGATACCTCATCTAACACAAAGGTCTGCAGATTCGATATGGATGTGTTTATGCACTCTAAAGCTCCAGGAGTTACTTTGGTACCGCGTAATGTCATGCTCACCAGATGGTGCATTGCCTCACATTCACTTGCGTCAATATACATATTCCTTAGATCTAGCGTCTTCACCGATTTGCTGCATATGAATTGTATCACTATTGCGTTATCATCCCCCACGCTCTCAGAACGGCATGGAAATGTGTCAAGTTCAGTCAAGATAGCTCATGGACCTAAACAGCAGAAGATGAGTGATGAAGATACTTACAGTTCTCTGATACAATATTAAGGATGCTAGATCTGCGCATCATGGCCTGCTTCCCGTAGTCCACTATGCATAAATGCTGAAGCGTGGCCCCTGCGCGAGGTAACCATTTCCTCACAAAATACGGATCGCTCATCCAAAAATCTGTTTTCTGTCCTTCATTTTCAGGAACTTCTTTCGACTGTAGCCTCGGCTCAACTTCAATGCACAGCTGCTTTAAGCAACGCCTCTTTGATGTAATATTCACCACAGTATCCTTCAAATTTCGACTTTCCAAACCAGAATTCGGTGAGGACATATCTACAGGATTTCGGACCCGTTCATGATCCTCATTCAACACTTTTACATGCATTGACCTTATATCGTAACCAGCTTCCTGGAATGATTTGCAAGTTACCGAAAGTTTTGCAATGTCCCTCGCATCCTCAACGTGATTGATGATTTCATCAACTATGTCTAGAGGAAGCTGCCACAGAAATCAACGGAATCCCGTCAGGAAACTTCATGTAGACAACACAAAAACGACATCTGCTGACTCCCGCCAGTTTTAAGGGCTGCTTTTGGCGATTTCTTGCACTACCATTCTCTATGCCTGTCGGGAAGACCAAACTGTGTTTCTCGGTCAAAAGTGCTCAAATCCCCTAAATTCTTGAGTCTGCACCTTGCCCCAAGGGGTTCCTCAGTGAACCCAGAAGAACTCGGGCCTTAAAATAAAAACTATGGCCTACAAACCGCTTGTATATCAAACGGGTCCGCTCATGCGTACCGTAGAAGGACGAGGTCGTAAATCGCCACAGAGGACTTATTTAATCAAGTCGGGCATACATCAATTTTAATAGACCGTAGACATCACATCAACACGAACGAAGAAAAAAAACACTTTTAGCGAACAAAATACGAAATCCCGTGGTCTACAGAGAACACACGTACGTTATCCATTGTTGCGTGCTTGTACACGAGTTCGCTTGAAAATTGTGTTGCAGGAGTCACGTCTACGAAGCCCAGAGTCTTTCTGAAGAAGGTGCTGTCAAAGGAAATCGATGAGTCTTGTCATGCTTTAAAACTCGCTACAGGTCCGGCTGCAAACTCCACCCGAGTGGTAGTACTTCAAGTTTTTTCAAAACAACTCGCGCTGAAACAGAAGTGGCCCTGCATCGTAAGCTTACAGTTAGCGCCAGTGAGCTTTGAAGCACCTTTCAACGCCTAGCATCAGCGAGATTATGCATATTCACGGCACCAAGTTGACAAATGTCATGCAAAACAACACTCTTGAAGACTCATTCTCAAACATATGGCGCAATTGTCACGCCAAATGCCACATTGAGATCCAGCGAAGTCTGCATTTCAAATCCATATATCGAAATGGAATCTATTTTTATAATAGAGATTAAGTGGATGCCAGACGTATTCAAAACGAATCTTGTACAGACTTCCATTTCATTTTAATTTTTCTTGGAAACATCAAAATTTACTACAATACTAGTTTTTTTTTAAAGAAGGAATTAAAAATAAAAATAAAAATGGCTATTAATTATTAATTCAGAAGCATAATGATACCCGTAGGAAAATTGAAATGTACCAAAATTTGTAACATTTTGTGATAAAAATGTGATATCTGGAGTTACTTGGCACGTCTTTTCATGTTGACTATGACATTTCAATGGTTGACATAATAAATAAATATTTATTATATTTTTATGTTATTCATATTATTTATATATTTATATATTTATATATTTTTTCATTTTTAAAAACCTTTTAAATAGATAAACATAAGTTGTTACTTTCTATAAGAAAAAAATTCTGAAATAATATATAAGATAGAATATTTATTTTAAATAATTACCTAAGGGATTTAAAATTTAAATTTCCTATTTTATATATATATATATATTTAATATATATATATATATATATATATATATATAGATTAAAAAATAATGTTAATATCTATAACAATAAATTTTGCATGTAATCATTTTAAATACTTAATTTAATAATTCAATAAAATTAAAATAATATAATATTATAAATATAATATTATATAATATGTAGGTTAAGATGAAGGGTTCAATTTATAATTTAGAAGATCTGACAAATATCCTTGTGGTTATTTAAGAAGGGATGGTAAATCTGGAAAAAAAAAATTAAAAAAAAATTAAAAATATAACTAAAGATTTTAAAAAGGCACATTTTTTTGTTCTATGCCACATCAAAATTAAGTGATAGTATGTGTGGGACAATGCTTCTATTTTTCTAACATACTCTAAGTTCTAACTTGCAGATCCTTCAGATTGTGACCTTATATTCACTTGGTTGCAGATAAATTACTTATAGCCAAATCAACCAATTTGGCATTGAAGGAGCATTGTGGAATTACATACTCTAAATTCTCTATTTTAATGAAGCCATTGTCAATTGATACATTCATATTAAAAAGGTTTGTCTTTTGAGAAATTTGTCAAGGAAAAATCTTACTTCAAAATGACAAGTATTCTTATTATAGGTGCTACTTTCAAAAGTAGTAATGAATTGAAGCAAGCCATTGCTCAAGTTGCGATTGGCAAGCATTACAAAATAGACATTACCAAATCCAATCAAACAAGATATATTGTGAAGTATTGTAACAATGATTTCAAATGGAGACTACATGCGTCACAATCTGAATTGGCATCTTCAAATGAATTTGTAATTAAGACATTGGTCTCTAAACACACATGCATTGGTGTAGAGCACTTGGGCAATTGACATGCTAGTGCTACTTGGGTAGCATGCAACATGAAGAATAAGTTAGAAGATATACCACAATATACAACTGCATAAATTTGAATAAAAGATAGTAATAATATAAATAAATAAAAAATCTAGAATTTTTAGAAACTTGTATAAATATATATGTTCTACCATATAAAAACTTTAAGGTTGGAAAATGATTTTAATTTAAATATATTACTTTTGAAATAAACTTAAAGACTATAAAATAACAGCTTTATTTTAATATTATAATTTTTTAACTATTATAATTCTAGAATAAAAATTTTAGATAGAGACATAATAATATTAAATACAATCATGTTATTCCAACCATGTATAAAAATATTTCTAAGAAAGATTTTACAACTATTTTTATATTAAAAGGTTAAGAATAATTATACATGACTTTAAATATATTGGTTTGTTTTTTGTATTAAAAATAAGTTGTAACAATAAGCAAAATCATAATGAAAAAATAATTAAATAAATAAAATAAAAAATGTTCGAATTAATTAAAGCAAAAATAGAAGTTATATGATATATAGTTTTTATATAAATATCTATTATAAGAAAATAAGAAGATTTAGATGATAATATTAGACCTTTGCAAAATAATATTCTACAAGAATATTATAATATAGTTACTATTGTTGCTACACAATTTTAAAAAGTCTTATATTTTTTCATTATGGATATTATTGTTGTGTAGATGCATTGCTTCTTTATAAATTTCAAGATAGTATATTTAGATTTACTACAAAATAATGGAAAAAAATAAATTGTAAGAAATTTAGAGAATCTTTAATCATATCAAGAATATTAAAAAAAATTATTGAAAAATTACAAACAGTTTTAGTTATTTCTATACGTACAACCTAACAAGGTCATACAAAAGATTTAAAAAATATCACAAAGCTTGTGGTTCAAGTGATAAAGTTGCAAAATACTTTATAAGCGGCTTTTTTATATTGAATATCTTAGAATAGAAGTATCTATAGGTATTAGGCTCACTTAGAAAAATTAGTGTGGTAATTATATAAAATTTGTAAAATATAATCATAGGTTTTTAAATTTATTTATAACAATAAAAAATAATATGTTTAATTTTAAAATTATTTTTTTATCATAGATATAAATAGATATTAAAGGATATTTGGTTTAAAAAAATATTACATATATAAATATATATAATTATTATTTATCAAAATATTTTCATTAATTTATAATAAGATATTATTAAAAATATTACAAACAATCGACTTGTCTCCTCTATGCTTAAAATAATTATATTTCTAAAAATAAATTATCAATAATAATTTATTATGGTGATTATAAATTTGATAATATTTTTATATTTAATTATGTAGATACAGATCATATCTAAATAAAATATTAAATAAAAATATTTAAAAAATCTACACAAAAAATAAAATTAAAAAATATTATATTAAAATAAAATTTTCATTACATTAATTTAAAACATGCATTTTGAAGCGTATTGTTATTTAGATTTCAAATTTTTCAGCATTTAAATCTCCAACTCATATCAATTGAGCTCTTAACAATAATTTTTATAAAAAAATTCAAATACAGATAATAGTAAAAATATAAACAGAGCTGAAAATATTTATAAATATAAAATATACAATTAGTTGACGGCTCAAGTCAATTATTAACATAAATATACTCTTAAATAAATCCATTGAGGTGACAAAAACATTCTTAAATCACTTACAATTAGAGGAATATATACAGTTTAGAATTTTTATATTAAGAACTACAAAAAAAACACAAAAACTTGTGGTTCTACACAGCTAGACATAAGAGCCACCAATAACCTCTTAAAGATTGTAAAGACATTGCCTCTACTCTCTTCACCTCTTGTTAGAATATTATACAAGACAATTATACAAGACAATTACACAAGACAAGTCCACATACTCCATCTATACTAAATAATTAGAACTACAAGACATAAGTATTGCATATTGGTTTATAGAGATTATACAATAGTTGTAAATATATAATGCCAAGTAATTCCTACTTATAAATCTAAATTAATTTTATTTTTTTATCAATATCTTTAATATATGTATATAAACATACAATATTATATATATAATAAAAAAATTCACCACAATGATTTACTATTTTTTATTATTTTTAATTTTTTTAATACATTATATTTTTATATATGTAATTTTTAAAATCCATAATTAAAAAAGAAATTATTATAAGAATTATAATGCTAATAATTACAAAACTAATATGTATCATGAGTAAATTTATAAAATGAAGCAAACAACGTTGAAGCTTAATGTTTATGTAGATAATATAGATTATTTTATAGAAAAATGTTAAAATGACCCATCTATTTACTTAATTTACCCACTTTATTATAACCATCATTATCTAAGACTAATGCCATAGTTAACAACGATTTTTTCACAAAATAAATACAGAGTCGGAAGTTATTGCCCAACTGTGAATTTTCTCCCGCCTCTCCATCATCGTGTCTACCGCTTCTCTCACACATTATGCACATCGAGCATCATCCTTCACGTCTTGCGAGAGACTCCTAAAACAAGATCGTCAAGAATTCGTTCATCATTAAACTCCCCAAATTCGTAATCACCAATGGGTTAAAAAGTTCAACCTTGACAAAGAACAATACATCCAATAATACACAAGCTTGTTGTGGAATGAAAATGTACGTTAGCCATAAACCGTATCATGAAATCACGACAATATTGTACAATCAAACTTTCAAATGTTCGTTTGAGACTTACGAACCTACCTCTACAACACGACATCCAAATCCTGCAAGCCATTGCGAAGGTTATTCCAGACCCAGTAGAATCAATGCTATTGAGGAAGAATACTGAGTACCCATCCTCACGTCGGAAGTGAAAACTATTTCATATGGAACAGATGGAAATTCAGTCACCCAGTAAGACCTGCAGAGAAATTTGGAACAAAAGACTAGTCCAACACTTCTCAACCACCAGACAATTGACTGTATTGTGCAATCCAAATGCTAAATTGCATTCTCCAGTTCTCAGATTGTATTACAAGACTTGTACTCAGCACAACGAGTCCTTCATTGTCTTATTTCACAACCTGAACCATTACTTTCGGTCACAAAAGTGGTAGGAGACTGTTGGGAAATACAGACTATTGAGGGCACAATAATAGACAAATCTTAAGCTATATATGCTCATCCCATCCTGCACCAGATCTTAAACCCTAAATCCTAAACTCTTCAACCTTGGATGGTGCTAGTACCGTATATGCACTTTTGATTGCTCCGGCACCTCCAGATTGAAAGAATAGGGTTTCAGTCGAGGTGCCACGATTTCAAGCTCCCTCGGACATTTCATCTTTAGTTGCAGCTTCTCAAGCTTAGGAAGATTTATGAAGACTGCTTCCGCTGGATTTGAAAGACCAAGGCTAAGAAATTTCATCTCCGAGAAAGTCAGATGTCCTCTCTCCACACCAACTACCCCATACAGCACCATTGTCTGTAGCTTTGGCATAAAAGTGTTCATGTAGTCTAAAGCTCCACCAGGTACTTCAACACAGTGTAATGTCATGCTCACCAAGGAGCTCATTGTTTCACATCCACTTGTATCAATATACATGTTCAGTAGATCCACTGTCTTCAGCAATTTGCCTGCAAACGAATTGTATCACCATGGCGTTACCATCTCCCAAAGCTCTCAGAACTGCAAGGGACTGCATCGAGTTCCAAAGTAACAGATGGACCTAAACAGCAGAAGCTGAGTGATGATGATACTCACAGTTTTGTGACAAAATCTGGAGGATGCTAGATTTGCGCAGTACGGCCTGCTTCCCATAGTCCACCATACAGAAATGCTGAAGCTTGGCCCCAAGGTGACGTGACCATCCACTGACAAAACACGGATCGCGCATCCAAAAGTCTGTCCTCGATCTTTCATTGTCAGGAACTTCTTTCGATTGTAACATCGGGTCAACTTCAATACGCAGTCGCTCTATGCAGCGCCTTTTCAATAGAAAATTCCCCACATTATCCTTCAGGTCTTGATGATCGAAACCTAAAGTCGGTGAGAAAGAATCCAGTAGATTTCGGGTTTTTTTTGTGGTCACCATTCCACACCAGTATGTGCACAGACTGCCCCTTGGAATGGATTTCTTGGAAAGTGGAACCTGATAGGTGCTATCTTTCTTACAGCACGGAGACGGGGGGGACGGGGGGAATGGGCGTCCTAGGGGTGCAATCAAAACGGCGTACGTGGCGGGAGGAGGGGTTCTCAGGTGTAACGCGGTTGCCCGCCCCCCCAGGTCCCCGCCCTTCGTGAGCCCCCCTCCCTCTCCTCGCTCTCCTTTCGCCCTGGTATCCAGGCGGGGGATGCGGAGCCATGGAGGCCACGTCCTCCTCGGGCTGCTCCCCTGTGTAGGGAGAGGGAGGTTGGGTATGGTTTAATTAGTTCTTTTTGTTAAAATAACTTGTTAATCATTTAAAGCATAAAAGTATTGATTGAAGTATTAAAGAATATATATAATGATTGTATACTTTAAGGTAAAAGATAATAGATTGTAAAAGTAATTAATATAATAAGTTACATCAATAAAACCATGGCACTTGTAAACTAATTTATTGCAACAGAAACTCTTGTAAATACTGTAGATGTGTTATGTGTATATATATATATATATATATGTGTGTGTGTGTGTGTGTAAGTGTGTATGTACATATGTATATATGTGTATGTATATATGTATATATTTAGTTAGATTTTAAAGATTTTATGCAAGGTTAAGTAAATGTTAATTATTGAAATAATAAAAATTTATTTACATATAATAATAGTTATTTGACATCTAATATTTATGGAACTCATTTTTTAAAGTTTTATATGCTTCTTTAACATCTATGATTTCCATTTTAAAAATATAGAATGGGCAATGAAATGGTGGTCCTTGGTCTTGTATGGGACACACACCATGTCCTCCCATGAGATGGAATCCCACAAGCAGCATGGAATCCTCCAAATTCTAGTGACAAAGACAGACCCCATGTTGATTGAAAGTCTGGGAGAAGAACATGTGGCTGGGCTATATGACCTACATTCATGACTTTCAAAATATATATATATGTACCATTCTTCTTGTTATTGTTATTTTGTCCCTCAAATGATGATTCGTGAGTTTGAAATAATCAATTCAATTGTCCCAGTCACCCATTGTAAACTTTTCATGGTTGAAGATTTTCAACAACTGGACAAAGTTCCAAATTCCTGAAATGCTTAAAGTAGTCTTTCAAAATCATTATGAGAATTAAGCCATGGAAAAATCATAATAATGAAAATACAAACAAAACCTTGTATGACGCTATTCTATTCAAGAACTGTGCTCGAATCCCAGATGTAGCACTTCATTGCCTAATGGTTACTTCAAAACCAAAACATCCATCCCAAATATGCCAATAGTCTGAGAAATAACACAAAGCTATTATCTCTTAATCAAAAAAGTTCTACATCAATGCTTTAATCCTTAATGAAGAGAACACTGGGTGTGATTGGTCCAAAAGGGCTATTTTATATCACATCAGGTCTCTATGCATAGTGGGTTATTTACATAAACCAATGAAGCATTCATATACAAATACACGTGTACATACATACATACATACATAAAAGTGTGAGTATGTGTGTGTCAGATCCAGAAGGTGCAGATCAAATCTGATTTATTTATAACACAGGGAAGGTATGTATGGAGAAATTGAGGTCCCCTCGTCAGAAGTATGAGAGAGAGAAAGGAAAATGAAAAGTCAACCCATGGGAGAGAGGTCATTTGGAATGCTACTATGTGATACTTTTGGACATTGTACCCACTTAACACAGACGTAACAATAAAACCTTCTTAGTTTAAACTTTAGTAGTCACAGACCACACACTGTTTAAATTATAGTTTGTAATAACGAGGAAATGAGGTATTTTAGATTGCCGTCCAAAGATTGCTCTACTTCCGTCAAAGTAGAATTCTTAGAAAGCAGCAGCTTTGATTCAGCGAGGATGAGAAAATATTCAAAAACATTGAAAGAAAAGAAGGTGGATAAAAAAAGATAAACAGAAGAACAAAGAAAAAAGAAAACACAGTGCAATTCAATTAAAGAGTTATTGTGAGAAATAAGTTGTTGATATTTGTAGACAGACTTTTGAGAATGTGTCACAGGTTTAGCATTTTAGAGTGCAAATTAAGACTCTTTCTTTTTTGCACAAAAAGAAGAATTTTTGTTTAATCTTAAATCAAACAAGAGAGTATACATCCATGATTTACTATGATATATATATATATATATATATATATATATATATAAATTAAAATGTACATTACCTCCTCATGTAATTGTTTGATTTCCAAAAATCTTCAAGTTGCATAAGAGTTATATTTAGACTAGTTTGTAGAATAATGAATTGTTTCAATCTATAAGAAAATTATAAGGTAAAGTAAGATTAGATAAACCAATTTACTTCAATTGAAGAAATATTAAACTATATTAGTTAGAAAAAATACTTGCTCTTATGTAGCAATATCGATGCAAGTATATAAACTAACTACAAGCATGTGCTTATGATTAAAACAAAAAAGATCTTCAAAAATCTAAAACCCTAAATCCTTAATCCTAAATATAACAATAATTTTAAATCCTAAATCCTAAACCCTAATCCTAAAAATTTACAAGATTTAAATAGAAGCTCTATTTGAATAAAAATTAGTCATATAATAAGTATGTAAAATCTAATATCATTAAGAACTTGTGTAAATATTTTAATTTAAATATATAAAAAATTAAGATTATTATTATATTTATTGATAATTTAATTTTAAAATAAATTTAAAATATTTAATATTAAAACTATTTAAAAATCATATTTTCTTAATCACAGTATATTTAAAATAGAAATATTAGAAAAAAACTTATTAATACTTAATACAATCATATTATTTCAATCTTATGTTAATATCTCTATATAAAAAAAAATATAAGAATTATTTTCATAGTTTAATAATAATATCAAAGACATATACATTTACTCGAATAGTTATTTATATGATTAGATAGAAGTAGGTAAATATAGATTAATTTCATAAAGTCTTCTAGAAAAGCTTCCTAAAAGCTTTATAGATGCGGTTTTGACTTTAGATGTATTTGTAGGTTAGAAACTGTCATGGACATACATTGGAAGATTCTTCGAATATTCTTCTAGAATATTTTCTAAAGATTCTCTAAAGATTCTTTTAGAAGGTTCTAGAAGATTCTTAGAATATTCCCTAAAGATTCTCTTAGAAGGTTCTAAAATATTCTTAGAAGGTTCTAGAATATTCTGATAGATTCTAGGAAGTTGCTCGAGAAGTTTCCTAATTAGTAGAAGTTGTTGGAGAAGCGTCCTAGTTAGCGGAAGTAGCTCGAGAAGCTTCCTATTCAGTAGTATATATAGGAGTCGAGGCTGAAGGGTTCTTCAGTCTCGACAACACATCTCTTGGAGTTCTAGCTCACCTTTCTGGTGTTGTTCTTGTACTCATCTGTTTAATCTAGTTCTGCCACTTCTTCTTGAACTTCTTGTTAGATTTCAAGTCTGTATTTTGTGTCCGTGACAGTTTGTCGAGACTGCATTTTCACTGGTATCAGAGCTAGTTCCTTCTTGTTAGAGAGTGGATTACCCCTCTTCTTGAAGGTGTGCTAGTGTTTTAGAGGTTGCGGATTACCCTCCTCTAAACTGATATCTCTTCTTTCTCAATATTGGAGCCTTATTCTTCTTGGAGAGAGTAGATTACCCCTCATCTTGGAGTCTTAAGGCGTTTTAGAGGTTGCGGAGTACTCTCCTCTGAACCAAGATTGTCATCTTGTCAAAACTCTTTTTTCTTCTTTCTGAAGGTTAGCCGAAGGTTAAGACGTTAAAATGGCTGAAAATTTGGAATCCAAACTAAATGCCATCATAAATGCTCTTGCCTCGTTGTCACATAGGACAACAGAGATCGAAGGAGTCATGGTAGGACTCCATAACAATAGAGCATCTGGGATAGCGCCATCTAAAGCATATCAGCCTCAAACTTCTGCGCCAGAAGAAGCAGTTCTACCTTCAGTTCAACAAGATCGAGTAGTCCTACAACGAAAAGAGCCTCGAGTTAGTCTTCCGGATAAGTTTGATGGAACTCGTTCCAAGTTTCGAGGTTTTGTCAACCAAATCAGGTTGATAACAATTTTACAGCCCGAATGTTATCCGACGGAGGAAGCGCGTGTTGGGCTTGTTGGAACCTTGCTTACAGCACAAGCTCTGTCTTGGTTTACTCCCTTGTTCGAGAAGCGATCGCCAATCCTGAGCAACTTTGAAACGTTCTTGGAGGCGTTTGCAGAAGCATTTGGCGAGCATGATAAAGTTCGATGGGCCACAACAAAGATCCGATCGCTACGACAAGGAACACGCTCTGCATCAGTCTATGCCTCGGATTTCAGACAATTGGCAAGTGACATTAATTGGGGTGAAGAGGCGTTGGTGAATCAGTTTTATTGGGGCTTGAAGGATGATGTGAAGGACTTGCTGTTATCTCTTCCTGATCCTCAAACGCTCAACGAAGCTATTAGCCAAGCTGTAAAGTGTGACAACCGCCTATTCCAACGTCGCTAAGACCAACGTCCAAGACACCAAATGACTCGTTACGACATGACTATGTCTGCAAATAGCTTAAACTCACATTCGGAGGCAACAGACATGCAAATCGACACGGCGCGTGCCCGATCTCTTACTCCAACAGAGAAGAAACGGCGTATGGAGGAAGGATTATGTTTGTACTGTGGAGAAGAAGGTCACAAGGTTGGAAATTGCCCAAAGAAGCAAAATTGGCACCCTGTCAAGACTAGAAGTGCGATGATTCCGGAAAACGACGATGCCCAACCACAGTAGGAACCGTGCGGTTGGACAATCTAATATCACGACAACAATCAGGTTCCTCCTTCTCTGTCCAACCTGCCCGTTGTTTTACAATTCCTTTGTTTTTAGGCCCTCAAAAACAAAAAACTTTAGCTTTATTGGATTCGGGGGCATCTACTTGTTTTTTAGATGAAGAGTTTGCTAAACGCCACAAGATCCGTTTAGTACAGAAGTCCAAA